CTACATCATCCAAGATGAAGTTGTTAAAGGGCAAGAAATGTGTGAAGGGTTCTGCTGTCACATCCTCATCAAAGCCGGCCACTGTTGATCCATCCCTGGCCACCATCACTGCCAAACATGATGAGCTGCAAACACGACTTTTTGCAATGATGTCGCAATTTGACCTGCTACTGCAAAACTCACAGAAGATGTCCGAGGACAATCATAAGTTCAACATACCATCGGGATAAAGAATTGACATACACGTTGATCAGCTTTTGTGAGAGGTCGAGCACAAGGTGTGCACGGCACAACTGAAGTGACCTAGCAGACAAGCATACTAGCATTCTACACCAATCTTGTGCCTGCCCATCGAAGTGTGAGCTGGACATAAGTATGTCGACAGCAGTTCTCAACTTAATGTACCAACATTCTAAAATGGAACCTCCGAAAGAGCAAAACAATACTGGAGGTTGTCTCAACATGATTGGGAAGCAGGTGCTTGATGAATGTAACATGATAAACAAAAACTATCAGCTGTTGCCGAGACTCGAAAGGCACATAGCGCAGAGCAAGCATAACAGACTGGACAAACCTCCATGGCATCCTCCAGTATAGAATGACAACACTGCATCGATAAGCTCCCATGTTCCTCTGAGATAGAGTGAACGTCAGCTGATGCATTTGACGTGAACAGGTTGGCATCATCCACAGCATTTGCTGACATGATTTCATCAAACTATGATAGAGAGAACTTCAGCAAATCACCCTTATGTAAAATGGTGGTACAGCACATCAAGGTTTACTTAGCGGAACCCTCGTAGATAGAATCTGACTGTAATGACACATTCTCTGCAAGCGAGTGAAGGGCTCCTTCTGATGTCGACACATTGGTCAATCAGGACCATCAATTGGTTTGTGTCAATTATACGAGGCCTATTTGCGGTGAACTCTCGTGATAGAATAACAGAAGGATTTTTGCGATGGCCGGTGCACCCACTAAGATGGTCCTTCACGTCAGTTAGCAGACCATCCAGAGTATCTATTTATGCCGAATCTTAATCTATATGCAAAGCAACAACTGTGAGATAAACTGTGAGACTTCTGTAAGACTTCCCGCATTGAGTAAATGGCATTTTCGACGTCTGTAATGCAGCCGTGTAGAGTGCCTGATGATGATGATAGATCCTCGAGCTCTGCATGCTGGCTCCTTTAGAATTATGGAAACAGAAGTTGGTGAAACCATCAGCAAAAAGTCCGGAGCCCGATCTGGGCAGACATGGTAGATAATAGTGCCTTTGTATTGCAGTAGAATATATTTCCAGACATTTGCCCATGTCGTCTGCTGGCCACTGGTCTGATCACCACTGGCCAGTTACACATTTATCTGACACTCAACTGACTTAATCTGACAGGTATGCACAGATATAGTCAGACATGAGGACGGTGATTCAGGCAGGCTAACAGAATATTATGAATTGAGTGTACATAAATCTTTGTATAAATTAGCACAATAGAACCTCGGCACATCTACAAAGTTGCAAAAGGAACACCTGCATTCTCATCTTCTTCACTCGACATATCATCTCGACCGCCATCATCCCCTTCCGCTACTCCATCGTCAGCTTCATTCTCCTCATCGAGAACATAGCCATAATCATATTCCTCGTCCTTCATGTTCTGACTTTGCTCACTGTCATTGAATGTCATGCCGCTGTCTTCATCATGCTGCCCCTCATCTACTATATCCTCATCCGACAAACTGTCTCCATCCTGTGATATTCCAGTGTGGTCAGATTCTGCAGGCATTCACACAACCGTACCCTTGTGCCCCACACCACCTCCAAGATATCTCATGAACATATCTCTATCAACAAACCTGAGTCAGGTGAGATATGTCACTCATACAATTATATGAACAATTTAGAACAGTCACGACTCACATGTTCACGTAGTAGAATTGATAATCCAAATCATTGTCATCAGGTTGTCTTGCGCATGTTGATGGTGGCAGCAAATCTGGTGTGCGTCCATGTGCAAATGCTGAAATGAGGTGTGCTGCCCATATGACATCCGCCGGGTTGAGAAATCTGAAGGCATTTGGATCATCACTGTCGACAAAGCTGATATGATGCAGCCACTCTTTGTCGAATCCACCAGGTGCTGTGATGTCATGCCCATATCAATGAACCCATAGAACGTCCAGTTTCTGGGGTTCGTCAGATGTTCGATATGGTCCCAAGTGCTGCACATTAACGTGGAATATCCCAATGACCC